ATTTCATGTTAAATCCTTGTAGACATAACTTAATTCTGGGACTGAAATGTTAAACTTACTCCAAGTAAAATACAAAAAAAATCAAAGCTCTACTGAATCCTGTAAGAATATTTTAATCTCTGTAGCAGATGCTTTAAAAAACTAAACAAGAACATTATATGGCACCTAAAAGGTGCAGTATAAGAACCAGATTTTTTTTTTAAGTTTTGTTTCTGCCATGTTGGCTAGGTATTTTTTAATAAAAAATGAAACTTGCATATAGGTTCTATTTTTTATTTATATATATATTTTTTTTTTACTGTCTTCAGGACTCAATGTTTAACAAGTTACTAGATTCTTACCAAAGTAGTTTAATTGACTATCCTCAGTTTAAAAATTCTGCATTGTGAAGGATTTCTTGCATTCAAGTGAACAATATGAACTAAACTTTCCTGCTTGTTAAGTTCTAGTGCATTGAAATGTCATTGGTTTCAGATTGTTACCTAAAGCTAGTTTCAGGTATTGAGTGTTTCACACTGATGTTTCGATTCCTGGAATAATCTTTTCCTCTTTTTTTTTAAAAAAAAGAAAATCAGAACAACTTTGTGCCACCATTCTGATCAGTGATTCATGCCCCTTCCCCACCAAGGCGGTAAGAGCACCGCACTGGGCTCTGAAGTTTTGGACTCTGTCAGTGCTAACAGAAGAGCTGGAGATGAAGTTTTAAAGCTTTTCCAGTTTCTTCTTGTTAGGCTTTCGTGGTAGTTTGTGGACAGCTTTTATGAAGTCTGCCAACTTGCCCCTGCAGTAAGACCACAGTATAGCTGAGCGTTGTTGTGGTAAAGCTGGCGGGTGTAAGACAGGTTGAATATAGCTTATCAAAATTATTTCTATGCTGTCCGTTTTCTGACGGAAGCCTTGTCATTGGCTGGGCACGCATCCGTACCCAGCATTGTGGTCCTGTGTCCTGCTCAGGTGTGGTGTGTCTGTCCGGTGAACTATGGTCAGAGGCTGTGTGTTGGACACCCCTTGTGTTGGGATGGGTGACACCTGGGATTTCCCAGTTCGTGTTCCTCACCTGAGGAATCCCCAGTTCCTTGCCTGTGTGTGCCTGCCAAGCAAGTGTATTTACGATCATGCTGAGGACTGTCTGTTTTGCTCACGTGGGTAAAATGCAGCTCCGGTGCTGTGATGTGGAGGAGGTGCACCCATGGCCCTTCGGTGGCTTTTTGAGAAACTGTCTGTCCTGTCTTGGGCCAAAGGATCGAGGCCTGCTTACATCCCTCTGTGCTGGTCTGTACTGGTTTAGGTACTTTGGATAAATGCTTTTGGGGTAATAGTTTTAGGCAAAGCCAGATCTTGGAGGTTCATCTTTTGTTGTGAAGTTGAGTAGGCTGAGAAAATGGGAACACATTTCTGTATCTGATTTTGTGACAATGGAAGGGATTGGCTTGTGTTATAAATAAAATTGATTGATTCTGCTGAGGAAACCATGGAGGGCCACTGTGCCTTATAGAACGATAGTGGACAATAAAATTAAAGCTAAAGGGATGTTCTTAGTGAGTAGGAAGCCATGCTTTACATGTCAGAGTTTCTTCTTTCTTTTTTTTTTTTTTTTTTTTGAGTTTTGGCAGGAGAGAACAGGTTTTTCTTGCCTTGAGAACTCTGTTGGAGCAGCTTGATATGTAGATAGCTTGCAGTCTGACTTGCATCTCACATGCTCCTTGTTATTTTTTTCCCCCAAAACCAGATTATTTGGATAGACACAGACAAATTGGGGAAGAACTGAATTTATTATTTTTCTGTTAGGAAATCAAAAGCTGAGATAGTATGTAAGAAAAGCATCTAAAAGGAATTTAGAGAAAGTTGCACGACTTGAGAGTAGTTACATGAACGTATTTCATGTGAGATTCTCAGGTTCTGTTACTCAGTATTAAACTTGAGTAAATAGAAGGTATCAGGATATATTTCTAACAGCAGAGGAGAAGGAACCTGTAACTCTTGGGACCCACAATTTTTTGTAGCGCTGTCTTTTCTTAAGAGGAAAGGAGGTAGGAAATGCAACACTGTTACTTGGTTGGTTTGAAGCTGGTTAGCTGGCTGTGTTGCATAGTGTAACTACAGCAGCATACATCCCAGTGTAGACTTACTGCCACAACATCCAAGTATACTTTTAACACTTTTTAATGTCAAAAGTGATCTAGGATTCAAGTGCAGTTGGTGAATAGCTTCCAAAATTCAGAAGTTGTGTCCTGGTTGCGATCTGGACTCAATCTTTTCCAATATGGATCGAAAATTTCTTCTTTCCTCTTTGTCTATTGGCTCTCGTGTATGGGTAGGAGATCTTTCAAGTAATCTTGGATTTAGCTGAGCTGAAACAAGGCTGGAATTAGCCACCCAAAATTTTACTTCATTAGTGAATTCATTGAAGTTATTTTTAGTTTGATCTCCTTTTTCTGTTAAGGGAATATAGTTTTAAGTGAAAGGAGGACTTTGTTTAGAACTACTAAGTCAAGATATGACCAAGACTCAGATGTGACAGTTATGACCATTAAAACCCATACAGATATGAAAGCTCCTCCGTTATTTTATTGAGGGGAAGAGCCTGTGATGGCTATTAGGGATCTGTCTGTTTTTCTAGACTATATTAAGTGTAGCTTATAAGCATGGACAGTTTATTGTTAGACTAGTAGCATGTATTGCAAATGTTGTAGTACAGTAGCACAGACTTTAGCACAGATCAGCTTCTAGAATGTTTGTCCAGCAACCTAGGTGGATTTTGCAGCCTGTGAAGAGCAGTGTGCAATTACAGCTCTCATGCTACCAAAATCCTGTTGCCTTGAGTCGTCTAGATGAATTATAATTATAGGAGTGACCCCAATGGTGTATATTTGGTTTTAACATAGAAATTGAGAATAGTATGTTCAGTATACCTAAGTTATTGCTTGTATATCAGTTTTCAAGGAGTGTGTTTTTCTCTAATGATTTAGATTTAAGGAGGATCCTTTCCCAAACTTTCAGTGATCGACTCATCATATGACCTTGGGAAGTTACTCATCCACCTTGAGCTTCAGTTTTCCCAGTTGGAGTATTAAGTAAGCAATGGGAAACTTGCTGAAAGCCAAACGTGATTGAGTTGAAACTTCCTTGTGTTCTGTCATTTGTTTTGCCTTTTTACAAAAAAGTAAATTTTCATTATTTTTTCAAGTTGGTATTTGAAAAATTCACTCTGGATCTGCTATCCATGGTGTGGACCTAATGTTCAGATTAAGAGAATTCAAGTTCCAGCCTCCTTTCCAAATGTACACCCGTTCTCATCTTACTAGGTCTTCAGCTGATCTTACTACTCTGCTGCTATTTCCTTGAACCATCTAGAAGATCGTGGTCTTGTGGGAAGCTGCAGTCTATCCCTCAGATAAAAAGGATATTGCTGCTACCTATGAAAGCTTTAAACAAGTAGTGGTTTTTTCCAAAGATCAGCTAACTGTAGACTCTAAAAAAAAAAAAAAAAATTAGGACAATTAACTATGTCCTAACTATTAATTAACTAAGTCCTTCTGTCTTAAAATCAAAGAATGCTGTTGCCCAGGCAAGTGCTGTAAAATTCTTGTGATAATTTATGCTGGCTTGACATACAGTCTCTTGCTTGAGTGCTTGGGGTTTCCCCCGTTTGTTCCTGGATGAGACAGTTTTCCCCAAGGGTTAGTGGACTGCATTGTGGAGACTGCAAGTCATATTTAAGTAAGCGTACTTGTCTTGAGGTGTATTCAATGAGCTGCTGTTCTGCCATCTGAGAGGACTGTTGTTCAGTGAACCACACTTCAGCCAGGTGGTTTTTTTTGTGGGGATTCTCCTCCTGCGTCCTGCTGAGATGTACAAAGACATCTTGTACAGGTCAAGGGAGCTGATGGGGGCTTTTCCTCTTCAAGTGCACTGCTCTGTTGGAGCTGTGTCCCTGCCCTACAGGTTTGTCTGTGTTGGCGTAGTGATTCCAGCACAAGTAAAGCACAACTTTTTTTCTTTTTTTTTTTTTTTCTTACACAATGCGCCTGAGGGAAGGAAAAGCTTATAGTCATCTTTGATGCGTGCATGAATTCTGTTTTCAGATGTTCAGACGGTTGCTGGAAAGAACTTTATATTAGAAAAAATGCTGCCAGGAAAGAGAAGTTGAACAAAGGCTCTCAAAGTCTGGTTGTAAAACTGTTGCCGTACCCTCTGGTTGCTTCTAGGTGGCACTACAAGAAAAAGAATATGTGCATTTGCTAGATATGAGAAGGCAGCTGTTGAGCTGGTTGGGGCTCTTGTGGTCATAGTGGAGAGAGGAGCAGCTGGCAAATACTCCGGGAGAAAGGAAGAAAGGATTAAATTTACTGTGCTGTGATAGAATTGACTGAACTCTGAATTGCATTTTGTATAAGTGTGAAACAGTGGTCGCTTAGTGACAAACTGGTTTTGCTTTAGTGCAAAAAATGTGGTTGTGGACAAAATTTATATACAGAGCTCTTCTCCAAATAATAATAATCACAAGAGAAATTCTGTTTTTCTCTAAATATTTAAATGTGAGACTGCTTTGTAAAGCAGTTTTACAGAACAATTTTACTCTGTGTACATGGGCCAAATAAAATACAGGGGTTTATTCTCATCTAAAATTTGAATCTTAACATTCTTAAATATTTTTTCATTTTGAGTAGGAAAAATCATAACATATTCCAGTTCACAGCCATTTCTCAACTTTTTGTTGTTGTCAAAGTATATGGCAGCTTTTGGTTTTGTTTGAAGGAGGGGACTCTGATATAGTACATGTTTTTGAAAGTTTACCCTAAGACGTTGTAGTAAAGGAAGTAATCTCATGTGATGATTTGTAAAATAAATCTTATCAAAGCAAAGATCTAACCTCTTTTTTTAAACTTTTTTTTTCCTAAAATGTTTTATTCAAAACTAGACAGTGTTCTGGGAAGAAATAAAAATCCTGATCTACGAAACATAAAACTAAATAACTAAAACCTTTCTTTTTTTTTCAGCAGCTCCATGAGACTGTGAAAAGAAAGCTTGATAGTGCTGCTTCCCCTCAGAACGGAGACCAGCAGAATGGCTATGGCGATGTATTTTCTGTGTCCAAGAAACTGCGTCGTGATGATGGTCTTGGTGGAGTGAGTGGTTCTTCCAATGGAATGCCTCCTGTGTCTCCACTCCATCATCTTGACAAGAAATCCGGCAGCGGGGATACGTTACAGCTTAATGGAAAACATCCCATGGGGCTAGATGGCATCAGCAAGAAGTGTCTTCCAGATTCCAGCCTGCAAATGAATGGAGGTGGTGATGCTGATGACTCATTTCCTTTGAGTTTGAACAAAGAGCTGAAGCAGGAGCCGGTAGATGATCTTCCATGTATGATTGCTGGAGCAGGGGGTTCTATGTCTCAGAATAACTTGATGCCTGATCTTAATCTTAATGAGCAAGAATGGAAGGAACTTATTGAGGAGCTTAATAGATCAGTACCTGATGAAGACATGAAGGATCTCTTTAATGAAGACTTCGAAGAGAAAAAAGATGCGGATTCTTCAAATTCAGCTGCACAGACTCCATTGCCACAAGATATTAACATAAAAACTGAGTTTTCCCCAGCACCCTTTGAACAAGAACAGATGGGATCTCCCCAGGTTAGATCCACTTCATCAGGTTCGGCATTTATTGGTGCTGCTTCTGTACCTGTAAGCACCGCTTCTCCAGCGGTTGGTAGTTCTCAGGCTATGTTTCAGCCTTCCAGTCAGTCAATGACTGAAAATCATAATCAACCCATGATGCAGGCATCAAACCACTCTCAGAATGTCCAGAGGCCTCTCCCCAATGTGTTGTTACCTGGGAAGGGTGCAGGAAGTGCCAAAGAAATGTCTTCTGCTCATCAACTTCAGCAAATTGCTGCTAAGCAGAAGAGAGACCAGATGTTGCAGAACCAGCAACAAGCTTCACAAGTCCACCAAACGAATCAGATGTCTACATGGCAACAGTCTGGGCCTTCTCATAGTCCACTGGCTGTCCCATATACCATGGAAAATCCCACCAGCCCATCGGTTTACCAGCCAGACTTCAACAATCAGAAACTCATGATGCCTAATATGGGAAATAAAAGCTCACCGAGAGCTGGAGGCAATTACCATGTGAACATTTTGGGTCATCAGCAAAACAGCTTGAACCAGAACCCTGTGAATAGTCAAGGCTCTATGCTAGACTATGGGAACACCAAACCCCTTTCACATTACAAAGCAGAATGTGAGCAGGGAGTTACGGTACCTGGTCAGAACAAGACTCCCATGTTGGCATACATACAACAGCGCCAGCAGGCACCACTGTCTCATGTGAGCGATGACCAGAATGGGATGATCCTGTTGAAACCCAAGTCTGGAAGCATTGCCTACCGACTACCGCACAGTCAGGTGAATGTTCTGGTTTTTGTTAAACCTTTATTTAGTAGCAGATTTGAGGTTTTGCAAGAAGGTGTTGGAAAGGTAAGACTAGAGTACAGATTACTGTGTATTGTTTCAAAACAGCAGCCATGTGATTTTAAAGAAGAAAATTAGAATATATAATAAGCTGAGGCAAGAATCAAGAACTCTGTTTTCCACTGGGGACAGTTTTTAACATTCTGTTCTAGGTCGTGTAGTAATGTGTGATTTCCAGCTTAATATACTTTGTGGGCAACAAATTATGTCACGCTTCATAGAAGCTTCTACGTACAAAGATAAATAGATGCTTTGTAAACTTTTGCCTAAAATAGCTCATATAAAACTGTGGTGTTAAACAGTGTTCTCAAAGAAGCTTTGATTTTTATTTTTTTTTTAAACCTTGATTTTAGTCCCTACTTGTGTCTGAGTTGGCTTACTATAAAAAGACGTGCCTTTGGTTGCTGCTTTTTTGAAGAGAAATGGAACTGGGGGCTGCATTCCTGATTTCTTGGGTGTTCTTGGGGCTTTTAAAATCTAGGAATTTGTTATTGGTTAAGTCTCTGGGGATTGGTGAAGCATGGGATAGGAGAGAAATATATTTTTAAGAATGAATAATAGTAATATTTGTCTGCTTGAAGCAATATGCTTCAGGTTTTCCTATAAAGGAAATTCCAGATGGTGGTGCTTTGCCTTGTATGTAACTGATACTACAGGTGTGCTGCAGGTGAAAATTTATGTAGTGGTTGGAGGTGTAGACTCATGGGGATTCTGTAACATGTGCCTGCACATACTAGAGTGCTTGCTGATAAAAAAGGGCTTTGTTATAAGGATTAAAGCTCCTCTAGCAAAAGCTGTTGGAGATGCAACTCTAGTCATGTTCCCTCAACAAAACAAAAAACCTGTGAAAAAGGTCTGATTAGTCTGTGATAAAGACCACACCGGTGTACAAATAAAAATCGGAAATCAATGCGTGCTTCATAAGGTACAAAAAAATTAATCTCTTTAAAAGCTAGCAGATGTAACAGTCTAACAAAATTTTGATGGAAGAAGAAAGGGAAGGATGGAGATGATTGTGTATGTCACATCTTCCCCTCAGTGTCAAACATGGGGGTGACTTTGCATTTCCACTACCACGCTTGCACTGAATTAACAGAAATACTGATGAACGCTTCTGGAGAATTTCTCAAAAGCTTGTGTATAGAACAACTTAGCACAGCATTGCCTATATTTGGCTCATGATTTCTTATGAAACTGCAGGGAATGAGAACCAACAGCCATTAGCTGAATTTTAAACTTGAAAGTAGTATTTGTTTGCATAATTAGAGCTAAGGGTGAACTGTGCTTAAAAATGATACAAATTGTCAAATTTCAAATGGATTTGCCAGTAGGAAGAGGACAGCATCAGATCTTGAATGATAAACATTCCATGTTATTTTTGTTCATACCAAGTTCCAATCTCCAAAAAAAAGCAGACTTATGAAAAATTAATAATAACAGGGTTATTTGTAGTAGTATTTTTCTCTAGAATATGGTGATGGTTGGGTTGCTGGAAGAAGACTCCTTTTGATCAGTGATATCTTTCTTCCCCTTCACCTGCAAATAGTAAATATTCTGATACTAAAAAAAGCAACATTAGGAAAGGAGGCATAAACACTTGCTGAATTAAATGTTGACAGAAGAGGCAGGATTCAGATAAATGTTTTACATAATGAAAATTTAAAATGTTGTATTTGAAAAGCTGCTACCAAAGTGAACTGAAGCTGGTGTGTTTGAAGTGCGATTTGTAACTGGCACCGTTCCTTTGGCTGAACAGGAGCACACATTGCTACGCTCACCTGTTTGAGCTGGACTTTGGGAAGTACTTTGAGACTGAAGCTAAAGCCTCTGTTCCTGAAGGTTGTGGAGCTTCTGACCTTAATGCCGAACTCTCACTTCCATGTCTGGCACTTTATAGATGGGCTTTCAGCTCTCTTTTTAATTAGCTGAACTGAAAAGTGTATCACACTCGCCTTTTCTGTTAGAAGCTTCACAAGTGAAGAAGCTGTTGCATAAAGATGACAAAATATAAGAAACTGGTTTGATTTTTATTAAATAGTAAATGCACAGATAAGCAATAATTGACAATTTCTGGTTTTCAGAGGTGTGTTATGATTCCCCTCCCTGCATAGACTTTGTTTATACAGTCTCTCAGCTTTATCCTGTAATATGATAAAAATAGTACAAATTGTGGTCGTCGCTATGAAAGTGCCTTTCCTCATTTGTGTAACTGCATACAGTTCCTAAATTCTGGAGGGCTAACCTCTTTCTGTGTTTCTATATTCTGCAGGATCAAACCCCTTCTCCTAACGTTCCTCGCGTTCCTGTTTCTGTCCCGGGCCCTGGCGTGGGTGCCCAGGCTCCCAACGTCTCCATGGCAGGTAACCACAGCAACTCACCTTATCTCAGCAATCAGCAGCAAGCAGCAGTGATGAAGCAACACCAAATGCTGATGGACCAGCAGAAGCAGAGGGAGCAGCAACAAAAGCACTTGCTTATGGAGCAACAGAAGCAGCAATTCCTAATGGAGCAGAGACAGCAACATCTTCTGGCTGAGCAGGTGAGAGGGGCCAGCAGTCTTTTTTTTCTTTGCACTGATTTGCTTTGGTGGATGAAGGAGTGTTTGTAATGTGATAACTGTTTGACAAGATTTCAAAATAGGGAATGTAAACTACAAAGCGCTTTGGTATCATAAGTATAATTGCTGTTTTATGTTTCTGTAAAAATAACCCAAACACGTAGTACTTGATTGCTGAGGCTTATTTTTTTCTGTTACAAGGCACTATGGTGAATGAAAAGAATAAAGCAGGTAGAACTGAGTAATGTGAAAACACAAGACAATACTTACAGGGAGAGAATGTATCATATCAGTGGAGGTGTAATTCTTTGTGAAAGGAGAAAGGCAAATGATACCAGAGCAAAAATAAAAGATAAGTTTGGGATGCTGTTGGTGGGTTCTGCAGAGCTTTAAAAATGGAAGCAATGAGCAAGAGACTCCGTGAGCTCATTGTGCTTTCTTCCGAGACATCCACAGCAGTTCATTTTTCAGACTTTAAAACATCTTTCACTTGTTTATTTGGGGAAAATAATTGCACATCTGCATCCAACTTGTATCTTATACTGCCAAAAGAATTTGACTCTGCTGTTCATCAGACTGCAGAAAGCTGCTTTAGGGATCTTCCCTGCTCTCTCAGGGAAGCAGGCTCCTTGTGTGAACCTTTCTAAGCTTTAAGCATTTTGCAAGTCCTTCAGCTGGGAATCAGCCCAAAGGGCCTTATTCCCATCATCAGTTCTTTTCTGCATTTTTTAAAAGTCCATGGAGGCATATTCCAGACACTGGCAGTGTACATACAGAAAATTATCAATATCTGGTATGAAGGAAGGGGAAGATGAATTTTCAAAGGTTTGAGACCCAGGGAGAACCTGGTATTGTTTGAGCTCTTAAAGCTGTGGCTCGGTAGGTTTCCTTAGCTAAGTAAGGGATCTACCAGGTGTCAGTCCTCTCTGAACTGTGGGCTGGTGTATTAACAGGATGATAAGTAGCATATCTCAAACAGTGTTGAAATATATTTTTTTTCTACCTAGTTGCTGCTGCTTAGCCAGCACATGTTGCAGTAGTAAATACCGGTATTATGAAAATATCTTATCCCTGTCCTAGTTATAGTAACTACATCAACTTCTACACCTTGCACCTCTGTATAGTGATACTGGGACTCTGATCCCAGTTAAGCAGTGGCTTTGCTTTGGAGCTGAACAGACTTAGATACTGCATTTGCCACATTTCTAGATGTTGTTGGCATTCTAATTTGATATTTATTTTTTTGGATACACAGGATACTGGATGTAGTTTTACACAAAGACTTCTGAATCACTTGATCTCTATTTTGCAGGAGAATTATAGTTTCAGGAAGCTTCAATGCCATTTCCTGTGACACTAC